CCTCCGTTCTGCTATCAGGGCAGTTTGAGTACTGCCCTAGTGACAAAAAATACCTTGCGGGTATTAATCGAGGCCTGTTTATCGATCATAGATCTCATTTTTCGTGAACAGAGTCGACGAGCACCACGCTGAACACAAGAATGCAGAGGCCATAGAAAGAAGCGGTAGAACTGTATGCAAGTAACCTAGTTGGAATAATTATAAGCGTATAAACGTGCAATAAGTTCAATCGTCACATAGTCGCGCGCTTTCCGATAGACTTCTGGGTCAGGCTCTTCCGATTATTCCATCAGAACGACTCTTGAATTCATGGAAAATCATTTTATACTTCCTTCACATTTACGTTCTTCTCATTATTATTTTACGTCTTCGAGTTTTATTATACCGTAAAGTATATCATTCAAGATCTGAAAACCTAGAAAATATTTCCTATTTTAGACGATACTTATTATTTCCATGTACGATGAGTACTGATTGATTAATATGACGTCTTTTATTTCCCTGTTGTAACCGGCATTTATCTAACTCGTTGATTGGCACGCTGTCAGCACTCATCGTATTGGAAAATAATAGCAACGTATGATATAAACTAGAACATCTAGGTTTATCACAGATGACGATACAATACGACTCAATGAAAGGTGTAGCACTTTAATGTGAACATAGGGAATTTCCGATGGCATCATTGGACGGCTGGATTCCGAAGCCGAACGACGCGGTGGTATTGTGGCAGACCAATTACCCCATTGCTTTAGATTACCGCTCGATGTTCTGTCGTCTCACCGTTCGAGGTATTGTTCGCCGTAATGGCGTCATATTGTTTATATCAACCTACAATCATGAAAAATCTAACAATGGTCTGCATACGGATAAAATTTCCCGAGATGTAATGTATTACGAAAAAGTAGAACATTTTTTGCTTGCATAATAGAGGATAACGGATTTATGAGCTGTAATGCCCTGCTGGTCTTCAAGAGGCAACACGGTTGTGGGCTTTAATTTTAGAGTTATAAATTATTCGATTTTTCAGGCATTAGAACACGAGAACAGAGCTTCTTAGCTTCAGTTCGCGATCTTTTCATCCAAAACATTTTGACCGCTACTGCAGAATCTACTGTTACAAGTCAATAGTGAATATGCAGTTTTTTTTACTGCTTCTCGCTCCACCACCAGCCGTAATCAGTAGTTACTAAACACCTGTATTAATAGGCTTCTAGTCGGGTGAACATATCCAGTTTGTGTGGAGTTTGCCAAGAACGTACGTGACTTTCAGCTTAACGCATTTTGATGCAAATAGTTACAACGGAAGAAAAAGGGCAACAGAAATACAACCAAGGCGGCCGTCTGAGCTTAGTCGCACCCACGGAAAAGTGGTTTCTTCTGACTAGGAACCTCTGTAGCCGAGATATTTTATTCAGCGTAAGGATCAGCGACGCTCACCTTTTGAGAGCAGCTGCCCACCACTAGCTCCGAGACTGTTGGTGGTGATAATTCGACACCCCAAATAGATACCCGGTACACACGACCTCCAGTAGATTACGGGTACTGCTTTTGGACTTGGCGTCTGCTAGGAACAGTAAAGCATTAGGGGCTACCTGAATTAGCTCTGCTCCAAATGCTCGTTTCCGGCGTTCTTGAGAGTACAGGCACTGATAATTACAATGAAAATACTTCTGACGATCGGCGTCTTTTATGTGGACCTAAGACGTTGGTCTATCGAGAAGTAGTAGTACACTCCTCCAGAAGGTTGGTCCTATTAGCCTTAAAATAATTAGTCTTTTTTCCACGATCGTGCATCTTCCTCTTGCTTTGTGGCCACCTGACCGGAAGGCGTACTCAAAGGATACTTGGGATACATTCGTCTCTTCTTGTCCCTGTTTACTGACTTGCAGTGCGAAATCACTCCGAGTCAGCACTCGCTACCTTAAGAAAGATATTCAAACCATCGCTGCAGCATTTCCTACTATTTGCTGTACTTGTACAGAAATCACCTTCCCTCGATGATAGTTCGATCATGCGTCTTTACCAATTCCATTACTCCAGGGGCAGGATAAGGCCGTAAGGACCTAATATGGGTATGGGCGTGTGTTGTTTCGTCGCAGTTTGGATGCTCAGATTGTCTGTAGCAGACGTATCTGTCCGGGCCGGCAGTTCTTCATGTTATGCTTGGATTAATTTTTGGCCATAAAGAGCATGCAATCTGAAATATTCCGTCCATGGACCTTGTGCCAGTTCATGTGGAATCTATAGTTGCTACCACTCCAGCTTCCAGGACGCAGCGTCCGGGTGACAGCCGGTCTCATGCGAAATTCTTCCCCAAATTTATCTGTACGCTGGATTTTCGCCATGTATATAGCTTTATTTGCTGTACAGATTTCATCTTGGAACTTTATGATCGTTGTAGATACAATAACCTTCATATGGCCTTGTTTATTCTCTTGTCTATAGTATTGCAACTTTCCCTGTGTCTTTATTTATTTACTTTATTATATCCTCCCGTCTCTGTTTAACTTAAGATTTATCTCTTCGGGCAGCACCTCTGAATGCATTGAACTTCGACCTGTTTTTCATTTCATCTGGCTTTGTATGTAAAAATCCATGTCCCGTTTTTGCCTCTATACTGTGATTGAAATAAAATTTGTTTTTAGCACGTCTGCAACGTTGGACTACATTTGCTATCATGACTGCGGAATCTTCTATGTTTTATATGACCGTATGTGCGTGCACAAGCTCCGATGTTGGTCACAAATCGAGACACAACCAAGTTGTCGCTCAGAAAGTGGCTTCGCTTCTCAGCTCAGTTGGGAAAATTTCAGACCACTCAAAGTTGATCGTCACTCCTTGTTGTCCCCTTGGAACAACACACGCTGATCATACAAAACACTTCATTGCTCTCGAGGCCCCAAAATCCCTTCTACGAAACTGTATGGGTATCGTGAATCACTATTTTAGTGATCTTTTCACTGAAGGGGAAAGTTCAGGTAAGATTAAAACGGTGCTGCCTTTGCCCAAGCAAAACAGGGATGTATCTTTCAGTTTTGCTCCTTAATTAGAATGCAAATTACGTTCAGCTTTGATCTGATGTCTGCCGACTCTTCAAGGTCCATCTCTCGATCCTGGTATCCTCTCACCGGGGCAGCGGTCCTGGCTCGGCGCTCTGGCAGTCCGAATGCTGCATCTTTCAGAGGACCAGTTAATTGAACTTCGCACCCTCAAGTCGTGTAAAACTTACGAATCCAGCAATCACGTTGTACACGAATCCCAAAAGAAGGAGACCGCTGCTGAAACCCCGCCTAAAAGTACCATAACAGGTGAAGATACAGCCCTGTTTTGCCTGAGCTCTGAAGGACTCACCAAAGAACTGACCCCTCTTCATGACATCTCAGCAAGATCAGAAGTCTGGCGTCATTTCACCGACTGGCACTCTCCGTTTCCAGCTGTTGAGTGGCTGCGCTGGTACTT